AATTTTCTGATTGTCCTCCTTTCTAGTCGTGACCACAATCGTGCTCGGATGGTGGACTAGCAAGAGTGTTCATGGCTTCCAAAATAAAGAGTATATGGCCGTCTACGCAGGTGTTGGAGGAGCTCAAGCAGTGATTGCATTCCTTGGTGCCTTTGCATTTGCGTAAGTTTCTCGATCAGACATTCGAATGAATTCTGACTTTAAATAATAGATTGGCTGGCCTGAAGGCTAGTTTTGTCTTGTTCCAAACGGCTCTGAGGTCCCTACTTCGCTCTCCTGTGTCATTCTACGATACTAGTAAGACTTTGCTCTATACCGCGGGGACAGTAAATCTCTGACGGTGATTCAATAGCTCCTGTTGGTCGTGTGCTCTCTAGGCTCAGTCGTGATGTGGAATCATTGGACAATCAACTTCCAAACGCGATGTATCAGTTGATGAGAATGTTGGCTTCTGGTGGGTTTCTTTGACTATCTTCAATTTGGTTTATAATGCTAACTTACTTGGTTCTCGGTAGTACTCGGAGCTATTGGACTGATCTTCTACACCTTCCCCTATCTCGGAATTGCCATACCATTCCTGTTCGCTCTTTATTATGCAGCATCTGCATTCTACCGGTACGTATATGGGGGTCTATAAGAGTTCAACTGGGCTGACGTATGTGTGCAGGCGAACATCAATTGAAACAAAGCGCCTGGACTCCATCCTGAGGTCAACCTTGTATGCAAACCTTGGCGGTATGTGATGCCATCAAGTTCATGCTTACTCTCACTGATGCCGATTACAGAGGCATTAACCGGGCTTTCAACTATCCATGCGTGGAGAGCACAGGTGAGGTGCTGTTCCGAAGCCTACCCAGTAAGCTGACACAATTCTCCTAGGATCATTACCTTAAGCTTGTGGACACTGCAATTGGTGAGATCAGTTTTATCTCTCGAAAGCTCAGGGCTGACATGACTGTTCTAGATGGCCAAAATCGAGCATATATCCTCTCGGTCCTCGTGCAACGTTGGTTGGCTATTCGCCTCGACTTACTCGCTAATCTACTCGTTCTGGGCATCGGTTTCTTCGCCGTTGGACTTCGAAAATCTTCGGACCCCTCCAAGACTGGTGTGGTGTTGTCCTATACCCTCGCCATTACCCAAACCCTTTCGCAAATGGTGACACAAATGGCCCGAAGTGAGCAAGAAATGAACGCTGTGGAGCGTCTGGACCATTATGGGAAACTTCCAGGGGAGGCACCACCCACTACGAACCATGACCCTGATGCCAAGTGGCCAGAAAAGGGGGAAATTCGATTCCAGAATGTCGACATGGCATACAGACCAGGATTACCCCTCGTTTTGAAAGGCATTAGCTTTGACGTCAAGGCCGGCGAGAAGGTATGATTTTCTCGGATCCAAGAGTAAATTTGGCTCATCGCGATTTGAATCAGATTGGCATTGTCGGTCGAACTGGTGCCGGAAAGTCTTCTATGCTTCAAGCGCTCTTCCGTATCGTCGAAATAGAGGAAGGAGGAAAGATCGAAATTGACGGAATCAATACAAAAGAGATCGGCCTCGATATTCTCCGGCAACGTCTGGCTGTTATCCCACAGGATGCATTGCTGTTCAAAGGAACGGTCCGAGAAAACATGTAAGTTGATCTTCCGGCTTGGGACTTTGATTCGTTACTGATGTCGCTGGTCGTTAGTGATCCTTTGAACCAGCGAACCGATGCAGAACTATTATCTGCTATGCGAAGATCCGGCCTTCTCTCCCGAAGTGAAGAAGACGAGGGTAAAGCCAAGGCCATGGCTGATGGCACTCAGGATGCGGTCAATGTCGAAGTCAAGGGTGAAAATTCCTCTACTTCCCGCTTCGACCTCGGTGCTGCTGTCAGTGAAGAAGGCTCAAACTTTAGCGCTGGAGAGAGACAGTTGATTGCCCTTTGCAGGGCATTGGTCAAGGAAAGCCGTGTCATTGTCATGGTATGTTCTCGCCGGGCTAAACAATATTTTGGTTCTTACGCCTGCCTCACAGGATGAAGCAACTTCGAACGTGGATGTAGAGACCGACGCTCAAATCCAGAGGACAATCCAACAGGAGTTTGCCAGATGCACTTTACTGTGCATTGCCCATCGACTCAACACCATTGGTAAGTAATACCCTTTCTCTATCAATTGCAGCCTCGCCCTCTATTCTACCAGATTACTTACCACATTCCTTGTTGTAGTTTATTATGACAGAATTCTGGTTCTGGATCAAGGCCATGTTGCCGAATTTGACACCCCTCTTGCATTATACGACCGAGAAGATTCTATTTTCCGCTCCTTGTGTTCCGAAGCATCGCTCAATCGGCAAGATATTATACGGATCAGAAGCGCCGTTCATTCGGGACATGCGGAGGAAATCGTCCAACCGGTTCATCAGAATGAGACCATAGAGTAGGGGTACGACAAGCAGCAACGTTTTTGTGGAAAAACGATCGACATTTAACTTTCATCCATTCCATCTATCCATACTTATCATAGTTCCTGGTCTAGTCTAATCTTGTGTCTCACTCAGCTGGCTTATGGAATAAAAAAAATTAATCATTCTTCTCGAGGATCCTTGTTGACAACCGCGTCTATCTTGGTTCCATAATTTGAGTTTCTGGATCAGTATCCTGACCAATTAGCGTCGAAGTTCGACTGAAATGCACACATACACAAGTAGGGCGTACCAATGGGCAGCCTGATCGATGACTGGGTCGGGGAGCTACTCGCTCAGCCAATCGAACTTTGCACCATTACACATCATGGTGTTAATTTTAAATTTCGTCCACACGTACTATATCAAACTGTGAGTGATAAACGCACTCGAAAATACCCAAATCTATGTTTATGCAAACCGTTTGGCCGGGGAGACCATAATAAACTCATCTATTACATTGGACGTATGCCATCTTAATGACTGCCCTGGAGACCAGACGCTTGTTGAACTCAGTGAATATGAGGACTGATAGTCAATACCATCTTCTTTACGCCATGCCACACGGAGGCACATCACGTGACCTCCTCCTTTGCCCCGTGGGTGTTGCGCCAGGAACGATAGCCGGTACATCTAGAAGTGATTATGTTATATTTCCCACATATTTTTCGGGATTTAGAGCCAGTATTAAAGCCATAACTGTGTCCGAGCGTGCTGGTAGTCAATCTAATAGTCTCCCACG